TTCAAAGGGAATGTCAGTCTGATCTGTGAAGCTTTATGTTCAATTTTAATCATCCAGAGAGAGAACTTGAGCATCCTGACTTAAAAGCTATTTTTGGATCATGTATATTTAAAAACATTTTTTAATAGACAAATGATTTTTAGTTTATAGCTGTAGCTGTAAAGAATTTCTAGAACTCTAAGGAAATTAACCAAATAAATGCATATTTCTAAAGAATCTGTAGAATTGTAAAGAAAGGGTTATATCTGGAAGGGGTATTTTAGCTAGATTTATTATTTCCTGTGTTATCCTTATGTACAATTATGAGGGATTCGACACAAAGATGACAAATTTTAAAAATGAATAAATTAATTAGCATGTTGAACAGTCTCATTTAGGGAAGAAAAGCAAATTCTTTCTCTATTTGCTGAGGCAGAATTATTTTCCTAATGAAAGACCCAACTTTAATTTTATATGAAATCATCATAGATAAGAATCACTTTGTAAGAGCTGTATGTTAAATGCATCAAAAATTCCCATAAAAATAAAACTTTAAAACATCCTATTTGCAAAATATGTCACTTTTCACTGCAGGAGAACAGCTTCCAATGGGTAACAAGTTTAAGTTGATTTTTTCTTATTGTTAGCTGAGGCTTTGTTTCTTATTTGAGAGGGTTGTATAGTAATTTTTATCATGCGTCATCCGAAATACAATTTGTTAGAACAATGGCTGTTGTGTGAGTGTAATTACATCTTCCTGTGTGATTAAATGAGGGCTGTATGGGACCTTTACTCAGAGGTGGCAGCTGTAGCCAACCAAGTTCAGCCTATAAAAGAATTCCTGGGACTAACTGGTACTAATTGTTTGCAGAACAACCAGTGGGAGTAATATTCATGAATACTATGGAAATGAAATATTCCAAGACCAAATGTTTTAGCCCTTGTTTTCTACTTTATTGTGGTCAGATTATACTAATTGTATAATCAGGCCAAGTGAGGTGGGAGCTCTTAGTCTTCTGTTGTTTTCGGAAGAAAACTTAGTCTTCATCTGTTCAGCCCTCTCATCTTATAAATGGGGAAATTGAGGCTTTGGGAGTAGTTGAAGGGTTCTTTAAAGTCACCGAACTTTAAACTTTTGCTCATATATCCGTCAGATTTTTAAGTACACTCTGTCATACACATGAATATATTAGGTCATAAATAATGTGCCTTATCACATTTCTCTTGGTACTGGTTTTCTCAGCTATTATAATGCTAGTGAAGAGCCCTCTCCAGGTGGCAGGGCACATGACTATCAAGAGCTCCAACTTCCTAGTTAAAATATATTAGTTCAGGGTAGATATTAAGAGTATTTAAAACGCAAACATTCCTTTTTTTTTTTTTTTTTTTTGAGGCAGAGTATCTCTCTATTATCCAGGCTGGAATAAAGTGACACAATTATATGTGTCTTCTCATGGAAGCCTTGAACTCCTGGGCTCAAACAATCCTCCTGCCTCAGCCTGCTAAAGTGCTAGGATTACAGTTGTGAACCACTGTGCCCAGCAACACTTAAATTTTTAAAGCATGGGAAAAGAAAAGAGGAAATAGATGCTTAATACTTTCTTCCCACATCCCAAAGATTGTTGGTATGTGCACCCCACTTTGGAGATTTAGGTCATTTGGGTAAAAAGAAACTTGCTATTGAGGAAAGAGAATCTATAGAAGTAGGGTTCAAGATTTAGCGGGATGGGGAAAGGTTTGGGACACTCACTTTGGATATGTAGGTTAGTCAGAGTTACTGCATAATGACTCCCCTTCTATTTTGCTTCCCTTTATGTGTGCATTTGTTTAGTCAAGGAGCAGCATGACTCTTGTAGGTTGCCATAGCATATCAAATAGAAAAAAAATAGCTTCAAGAAGTTGGTGAGGAAGGAGCTATGTAAGTCAGAACTCTTTCAGAGTGACAGAAACTCAACTAAAAGTAATTTCACAAAAGTCAATTTATTAGCTTGAATAAAACAATAACTGAGATCTCCTAGGGTGACTGACAGTGGCCTTCGGCGTAGTTGGATCCAGAAGTTCAAGCGATGTCATGACATTTCTCTTGGTACTGTTTTTCTCAGCTATTATAATACTAGTGAAGAGCCCTCTTCATGTGGTGGGGCACATGACTATCAAGTGTTCCCACTTCCTACTAGCCCTGGTCAGCAAATCCAGTGGAAAGAGGGCATTTCCCTCCTAAGGTCATATGTTCACCCCAGGGAAGATTAGTTGACCCAGTATGTGGATCACGTGTACCATACCCCATCGAGTGGGCCACCATGATGGTGGTCCTTTACCCATGGACAAAGGTAGGGAAGCTCTTCAAAGCCAAAAGGAGACTTTAAAAAATGGAGATGAGGTAGATTCTGAACCTCTCCAAACAATATATTTTCATGCTAGCAGGGCTTGCACATGTTGGGTTCTAGAGGTATTTAAAAAGGTGTTTTTAATAATAATAATAAACCTACCAAATTGTTTCTTAATTAATCTTTGCTATTGACCCAAGCAAGGAGTTTACAGGATTTAGAAATGCATTGCTATAAAATGACAACTGGAATTCCTCCCTCATTTGTCAAAGCACAGTCTTTTAGAGAGAGACATATTTGTAGAAAGAACAAATCTGCTTCTGATTTTAGTCCATCCAGCGGCAGGCAGGCTTTTTGGACCAATTATTACCAGACCTTGAGATAAATCACCTCATGAGCCATTAGTTCTTGAAGGATTAGCAGCCTCAAAGATTTATGTGCGGATTAATTGGAGTGTACATTAGATCGCTATGTTTAAAACCGCAGTCATTCCTGCAAATCATTTTCATTAGTGCTTTATTCAGAATTCTATAGCCTTATTGCAGGGAAATCTGAAAGACATTTTTCTTTATTTATTTGTAGTCTGCTCCCCATCACCACCGTTGCGTTTAATAGATCTAGCTAGGGCTACATAGAGAACATCTAAAGGAACAGCAGCTTTCAGTAAAGATTAGTTCAGTTGCTTCAGCTGAACAGTGACTGAAATACACAGGATGAGGTACAAGAAATATATCGGTATTCTGGAAGCAGCAGTTGGTATTACCCCACTTAACAAAAGAGAACTTCTACCTGAGAGCAGAAGACATGTGAACCTTTGGCAACAACCTGGGTAAGCAGAGGAGGGTGGAAGCTTTTCGCTATAGATGTACTTTTTGGCTGTTTTGGGGACCCAGATAGAAAGAAAGTTCCTCTCTCTTGTGGGGATAATAGATGAGTTCTTCATTGAGAACTTGTTTCTTCTTGGTGGAGATGGAATTCTTAGACTGATTTAAAAACAGGAATGACATTCTTGGATAATATTCTAATACCCCAGGAGATGAATAATGGGTGTGTCTACAGCCCGTTTTAATAATCTGAATGTTTAATTTTCTGATTTTGAAAGCGTTTTCATGGTTTACAAATGTAGCAATTCTAAGAATGAAGAAAATATGCCTTGTTACCATAACTTTTTTCAACAATACAAGTGTTTTTCTGATTAAAGTGTACATGTAGACTGTGTTTTGGGGGAAATACTTTTCTTGAAACAGCAGTTTTCATTTGACATCTCTTTCTGCAGCCCCACTGATTTACCATGATGAAGAAAAGTTTAGAAGTTTTTCATGCATAGCTAGAAGCCTTAGTTCTAACTTTCTTCTCTGAAGTCTTTCTTTGTGTTTCTCTTTCACACATGAAAGAGAAGTTGAATTTAAGGTTCCTGTATGGTAGACAGTATTTTTAGGGTCTGAATTAATTTTTAAACTGAATAAGTCACACAGTCGCATGTACTGATCAACTTGTATCTGTGTAGCAAAGATTTCTTTTTAATAGTTAGAAAGTTACTAGCTTGTTTTTATCATATCAACATACATTCATTATTGAAGATTTAGAAAATACAGAAAAATAAGGGGGAAAATTACCCATAGTCTTATCTCCCCAAGAGAACTACTAGAAGCATCTAGGTCAGTGGTTCTCAATGGGTAGGTGGAAATAGGGAATTTTGCTCCCCAGGGGACGACTGTCAATGTCTGGGGGCATTTTTGGTTGTTATAGCCCAGGGGTTGCTACTGGGGTCTAGTGGGTGGAGTCCGAGAATATTGCCCAACATCCCATAACGCATAGGACAGCCGCCTGCAATAAGGAATTTTTGAGCCCACAATGTCAGTAGTGCCACTGGTGAGACATTTGATAGATTTTCTTCCCATCTGTAAAAGGGTACATTTTATTAGAAAAAAAATAAATATTTCTTTGGGAACTTTCAGGGATGCTTTAGAATGGAATCCTGAGGCAACATTTTAATTTTATTGTTATTATTCTATTATTATTGTCTTGAAAGTAAAAGGAAGTGCATATATGTGTGGAGAGGGCAGGGGGCATACGGAGACTCTATCAGAGTCCACAGAGGTTAGTGCTGGTCAGCCAGGGCTATAGAAAACATTGTAATGACAAGCTATGATTCTCCAAATAGCCTCTAGAGATTGGGCTGCTGTAGCCTAGACCACAGTCTCAGAACAACAGAAGTTTCGAACTGGGAGAACCTTTGCCAGGGATGGCAAACAGGTTTCATGTGGAAGGCAGGTGCCAGTTGATGGTTGGCTGCGTGGAGTATCTAGCTAGGAGGACGCCGAGGCCAAACCTGGGCTTAGCGGGAAAGGAATATTGCAACTGATTAGGGATGTTTTCTGAACCTATGATTAGGGAACTGGGGAAATGCAACCCGTGGCCCATATATTTATCATTCCTGAATTCTAGTTTAGTGTTCGGATTTCACAAGTGGGAAACTCATCCTCATTGGAGTCATCCTGATCAAGAGTGTGGCTCTGACAGAAACGGGATGTTCTTAAGTTGATGCTGCATGGTCATTCATGAAGGGATTCGCCCTGAACAAGCTCACATGATTCAGATATGCAAACTGATTGCTAGATTATTAATTTTTGTTTGGAGATAACCTCTTCTAGCAATTGGAATAAATACCCTAAATAGACCTAAATAGATCTCTGCCTCTCCTCATTTCCCCTGACCAAACCAAACAGAACTCAAATTATTTGTTACAAAGTGACCCTTAATAAGTGAAGTCGAATGTGCCTTTCTTTTGAGAGAGAGACCGTTTCCTTAAGCTGGATGAAACAGCATTGCATCAGAGAACAAACAAGATCTTCCTTGTATCTATTAATACTCTGAGTTCTGCGAATACAGAGGGATGAAACATTATTTCACCGATCTCCCTTTTTTCTCTGCTGACCCCCTTACGTGACACAGCCTTCCTTTGGACATATTCACATCCCTCACTAAGCTTATGATAAGCTCTCCTCTTGGGTATCCTACAAGTGTTTTTCTCCTACTGAGATGTGTTAGTTTTTATTAATGAGTTCTTATTTCTTTTTTTTTTTTTTTTATTTAAGAACGAGAGAAAGGAAGAAAAAGAATAAAAAAAAAAAAAAAAAGAAAAAGAATAAAGGAAAGGAAGAAAGAGGAAGAGGAAGAGGGAGAGAGAACAGGGGTGTTGCTTTATTGCCCGGGCTAGAATGCAGTCTAAAACTGGGTATGCCTGTAATTGTGTTTAATAATAGAGACATAAAAAATAAAATAAAAAGAGGGAAGAAAATAATTAACAAGCAGCCAACCAATATTTCATTTAAACCTGTAAATACGTGTGATGTAGTACTGATAAGAGTGTATATTTTGTGTATTTAAAGTGGAGAGTTCTATGAATGTTAATTAAGTCTACTTGTTCCAGATCTGAGTTCATGTCCTGGATATCGATGTTAACATTCTGTCTCATTGATCTATCTAATATTGATGTTGAAGTCTCCCGCTATTATTGTGTGGGAGTCCAAGTCTCTTTGTAAGTCTTATATATCTGGGTATTTCCGTATTGGGTGCGTATATATTTAGGATCTTTAGCTCTTCTTGTTGCATCGATCCTTTTATCTTTATGTAATATCCTTCTTTGCTTCTTTTGATCTTTGTTGCTTTGAAATCTATTTTATCAGCAAAAATTGCAACTCCTGCTTTCTATTTATTTATTTTTGCTCTCCATTTGGTTGGTAAATTTTTCTCCATCCCTTTGTTTTGAGTCTTTATGTATCCTTGCATGTGAGATGGATCTGGATGTAGCATACCAATGGGTCTTGGCTTTTTTTGCCTGTCTGTGTCTTTGGATTGGGGGATTTAGTCGATTTAAATTTGGAATTAATAACCATATATGCGTGTTTGATACTGTCATTTAATGTTAGCTGGCTGTTTTGCCCATTAGTTGATGCAATTTCTTAATTATGTTGATGTTCTTTATTTTCTGGTATTTTTTAGAAAGGCTGATACTGGTTGTTCCTTTCTATGTGCATTGGTTCTTTCAGAAGCTCTTGTAAAGCAGGCCTGGTGGTGATGAAATCTCTGAGTGCTTGCTTGTTCACAAAAGATTTTATTTTTCCTTCGCTTATGAAGCTTAGTTTGGCTGGATGTAAAATTCCGGGTTGAAAGTTTTTTTCTTTAAGGATGTTGAATATTGGCCCCCACTCTCTTCTGGCTTGTAGGGTTTCTACTGAGAGATCTGCTGTGAGTCTGATGGGCTTCCCTTTATGGGTAATCTGACCTTTCTCTCTGGCTGCCCTCAGTATTTTCTCTTTCATTTCAACCCTGGTGAATCTGGCGATTATGTGCCTTGAGGTTGGTCTTCTTGAGGAATATTTTTGTGGTGTTCTCTGTATTTCCTGGAGTTGAACATTGTCCTGCCTTGCTAGGTTGGGAAAGTTTTCCTGAATAATATCCTGAAGCGTATTTTCCAGCTTGGATTGATTCTCTTCGTCACATTGAGGTACACCTATCAAACGTAGATTAGGTGTTTTCACATAGGCCCATATTTCTTGGAGACTTTGCTCGTTCTTTTTTATCCTTTTTTCTCTAATCTTGTCTTTTTGTTTTATTTCATGAAGTTGGTCTTTGATCTCTGATATCTTTTCTTCTGCTTGATCAATTCGGCTGTTAAAACTTGTGCATAGTTCGCGAAGTTCTCGTGTTGTATTTTTCAGCTCCATTAATTCACTTATATTCCTCTCTAAATTGTGTGTTATTGTTAACATTTCTTCAAACCTTTTTTCAAAGTTCTTGGTTTCTTTGCATTGGGTTAGAACAAGTTCTTTTAATTCCCAGAAGTTTCTTATCATCCACTTTTTAAAGCCAGCTTCTGCTAATGGAACACAGTCTTTCTCCATCAGGCCTTGTTCTGTTTCTGATGAGGAACTGTGATCCCCTGTAGAGGGAGAGGCATTCTGATTTTGGGTATTCTCAGCCTTTTTAGGCTGGTTTCTTCCCTTCATTATAAATTTATCCATCTGTGGTCTTTATAATTACCGTCTTTATAGTTGGGTTTCTGAATGGACGTCCAACTTGTTGATTCCCGGCGCTAGAATCTGAGCAACCCACTGCTCCGGCCAAAACAGCGGCTTTAAGATTGATGGTGCTTTTCTGACTCTGCACCAAGAACCGCCACACCAAGGCAGCGGCAAAACCGCCTCACCGGCCTCAAGAGTCACGCTGGCGACACGTGGGGCTCCTCCGCTGGGAATCTCCTGGTGTGTGAGCAACAAAAATTGATCTGAAAGTGTGGCGTCCTCTCGTTCTCTGCTCTTTCAGTGGGAGCTGCAATCCCGAGCTGCTAGTGATCAGCCATCTTGGATCTCTCTCCCCTAGTTTCTCTTATTTCTCTTATTTCTCAAACTTTCATGTGCATATGAATCACTGTTAAAATGTAGGTTTTTTTTTTTTTTTTGGGGACAGAGTTTCGCTCTCATTACCTAGGCTGGAGTGCAATGGCGCGATCTCGGCTCACCGCAACCTCCGCCTCCTGGGTTCAGGCAATTCTCCTGCCTCAGCCTCCTGAGTAGCTGGGATTACAGGCACGCGCCACCATGCCCAGCTAGTTTTTTGTATTTTTAGTAGAGACGGGGTTTCACCGTGTTGACCAGGATGGTCTCGATCTCTTGACCTCGTGATCCACCCGCCTCGGCCTCCCAAAGTGCTGGGATTACAGGCTTGAGCCACCGCGCCCGGCAAAATGTAGGTTTTGATTCTGTACGCTATAGCGGAGCTGGAGATTCTGCAATTTCTGACAAGCTCCCAGGTAGTACTGTCAGCCCAGGTGATGCTGATGGCTCAGTCAGTCCACAAGCCACACTTTAAAGATCAAGCATCCTGAGAAGTACTTTCCACCAGAGCCGACTTACCTTCTCTTAACCTTTCACTTTCTTTCTTTAAAAATAGAGTGTCTCACTGTGTTGCCCAGGCAGAAGTGCAGTGGCTATTCACAGGTGTGAGCTCACCATTAATAAGCCCAGAAGTTTTGACCTGCTCTGTTTCCAACCAGGGGCCAGGTGACCCCTCCTGATTAATCTGGCACTTTCTGATCTTCCTGATGGCTTTTAGTCCCAATACCTCCCCTCTCAGCAGTTGTTAAAGATATCAGCAGTAGGAGGGTAGATTATTCTGATCAAGAGCGTGGCTTTCAGACAGAGCTTCTACAGAAAGAAGTTGTCCTATGAACATTTTAACCAGAAATTTCTGTTGGCCTGGTGGACTAGTGAGGCTGATTCTTTCCTTCCAAGAATGCTGTCTCATTCTTTCTTTTCAAGAAGTATTCTGATTATGACAACATACTTATAATATGCATAGTTTTTAGGAGCAGCTGCTTTTGCATTTTAAAACACAATTGAGGCTGGGTAAGGTGGCTCACACCTGTAATCCTAGCACTTTGGGAAACAGAGGTGGACAGATCACCTTAGGTCAGGAGTTCAAGGCTAGCCCGACCAACATGGTGAAACATGTTGTCTAAAATTTTTGTCTAAAAGTACAAAAATTAGCTGGGTGTGGTGGTGGACGCCTGTAATCCCAGCTACTCTGGAGGCTGAGACAGGGAGAATTGCTTGAACCTGGGAGGCAGAGGTTGCAGTGAGCCGTGATTGTACCACTGCACTCCAGCCTGGGCGACAGAATGAGATTCTCTCAAAAAACAACAACAACAACAAACAAAACATAATTTGAAGTCAGTTTATAATCCAGTATCTAAAACCTCAAGGAATTCATTAATTCCTCTCAAGCTTCCCATTCTGTAACAC